TTCCTTCCTTCCTTCCTTCCTTCCTTCTCTTTCCTTCTTTCCTTCCTTCCTTCCTCCCTCCCCTTCTTCCCTGCCTCCCTCCTTTTCATTCCCATCTCCTTCCTTCCTTCCCTTACTTTTTTCCTGTTTCCGTCCCCTCCTTCCTTCCCTCCTTCTCTCTATGCCCAGGAAGGGATGAGGGGAGGGGGAGAGGTTGGCAGCACTTCTCTCAACGAATAAGAGTTGGAAGAGAACTTTGAGGTCTTTAGTCCAAGCTCCTGCTCAAGCAGGGGACATATACCATTCCAGACAATGGAATATCCAATCTCTACTAAAAGCCTCCGGTGATGGAGCATCCACAACTTCTGAAGGCAAGCCTTTTCACTGGTTAGTTGTTTTCACAAGTCCTTAGTTCTAGGTTGGTTTTCTTCTTGATTAGTTTCCATCTATTATTTGCCTTCTGATGCTTTGGAAAATAGGTTGACCCCTTCTTCTCTATGGCAGCCCATCAAATATTGGAACACTGCTATCATGTCACCACCCCTAGTCCTTTTCACTACGCTAGACATACCCAATTCCCACAAACATTTGTCATATGTTTTAGCCTCCAGCCCCCTAATCATCTATGTTTACCATCCATTTAGACCAGATGGTCTCCCTGGTTTGGTTTATAGAACAGTGGCCACAAGCAGAGCCTTCTCAGAGACAGCACCCCCATTATAGAACTTTCTCACAAGGAAAATATGAACAGTGCAACCCTCACTGGTTTAGAGGCAACTCCAAATACACTGTTCAGCCAGGCATATGTAAAACAACAACACATTTTATGGTCAAACAGCACTAAGTAAATTACTACTACTATTTTTCTTTCTTAAAACACCCACTTTTAATATTGTTTTAAGCAATATTACAATAGCTGTCTTTGAGAGTTTTCTTGTAAACTACCCTGGATTTCTCAGAAACTTTTAATTTCAAATTAGATGTTGATTTAATAAATTAGGCAGAAGAAACAAATGTTTAAATACATCTAAATCCCACAGACCTACTGCCTCCTAGGCACATACTGCAGAGAAAATAAGGCATTGCATTTCTAGCCAGCATAGCCACAGGATGATGGGAACTGTGGTTCATGACACCCAAAATATATTAGTTTGGGTAAGGCTGGATTAAATTATAAAAGAGCAGATGAAGGGAAGTATTTTTGTTTCCGAAAAAATAATTTGTGGAGGGGGAGTTGACTCGGCCTTTTAATTTCAACTCACACCAATTCCTAACGTCCCATTCAATCCAAAAAGTTTTATTATTGCCTGGATTTTAGGGAGGGGAGGAGGCAAGAATAGACCACAAAGCTAATCTGCAAGTTTGCTCTCTAGCCGCCTGCATACCACCTTCACGTGTATGTGTGTATGTATATTTATTTATTATTTATTTATTTTGATTTATATCCCGCCCTTCTCCCGCCCTTCTCCCAACGGGACTCTGAGAGACAGAGATCCCCTTTTTGTAAGTTTGCTTATTCTGCAACTCCCTGCTGCCTCAATCTCTCTCTCTCTATCACACACACACACACACACACACACGGGTTAATAAAAAAAGAGGAGGGGAGAAAGGTGGAAGCTCTCCTTTTTTGTAAAACCTCGGCTTTCTCCTCTCTCTCTCTCTCTCTCTCTCTCACACACACACACACACACACACACACTTCCTGTTTTCTCCTCCTCGTCCTTTTCCTCAGCTGCACCTGAACCGAGTGGGAGGAAGTTAAAAAAGAGAGAAGGGGTGGAAGAATGGGGAAAGCTCTCTTTTTTTGTAACACCTCGGCTCGGCTTCCTCCTCCTCCTCCTCCTCTTCCACTCCTGACCGGGCCTGATGGGGTTAAGCTGGGAGGGGAGGGGCGGGCTAAAGCAAATGAGCTGCTGCTCCTGCACGGCTGCTGTTTCCTGCACGTGCTCCAAGGCACCCAGCTGGGTTGCAGTGGGCCAGGGCTGGGGCAGCAGGGGCCGGTCCCTTGCCATTTCTGGGACAGCCCGGGGGGGGGCAAATCTGGGCCCTCCCCGGGCTGCATCCGGCCCGTGGGCCTTGTGTTTGACATGTCTGTGCTAAAGTATAGACTAAGACTGCCCATGCTTTGAAGGAAAAAAAATCATGGTTTGTAGCATGCAAATTGTATGCATACTTTGTACGAGCTAATAAACAGCTTATTTGAAAGAGTGCCACCTTGTAAATAAAGAACTGAATTTGTTTGATTGCTATTGATTCATAAATACAGCAAGTATCCCAATTCTCTAGCAGCTACTCTAACTTGTGAACTTCTATCGTGAGAAATACTAGAAAATGTTCAATGTTATTTTGATTATAACACATCATTTCAAAATTCCCAAGTGTCTAGGGGAAAAAATGAAACGAAATTGTATCCATGTACTATTGCCAATAGGGAAGTTCTCAGGACAGAGTCTGATAAAAGGTTTGTACAGGTCAAAACAAGTAGCTCAGGCTATGGATTCCGATGTTGTGTTGGATCAGTCCTTGGGGATATCCCTGACAATGTGTAATGTTTGAACTGGCCAAAACAGAACAATGAAATGTCAGAGGACATGGCACAAACCACTGGAGTAGCAGCATTACAAGCATTGCCAGAAATGTTTTGGACATAAGAAGGAATTACTTTATATTAGAAACATTACCAAAAGGGGAAAAAAAACATGTATAAAAAGATTGTGGCTCACTGTTTTTTTAAGCTTCCTGCTTCTTTGCTCCCAGCTTCAGACACATTTTTATATTTCTGCAAGAAACTTACCCCATCTGGTTGGCCATCTGAGGCTGTAACAATCAAAATGTAGCGATCAGTGCTTTCTCGGTCTAAAGGCTTTCCTAAGGCTAGCAGCCCGGATCTAGGAATAAAACAAATATGTATGTTACAACAAAGTATGGCTCCCAAAGAGTGATAAGCTTATTTATATGAAACGGGTTTGATTTGCATTAGCAAATATTTCTCTTTTGAAATGAACCTTGGGGGATGATTTTTCTGTGGCATAAGTTTGGTGTCAACGCTGCAACGATCCTGGCTGAAGCCATTTTGTTTTGTTTTCAGTTGCCACAGAACTGGGGCGAAGGATGGGTGATTTACTGTTAGCCTAAACAATATTTTGTCCCGTGGGAACCAAGGTCATTGCATCCTGGAAATTTGGCGGGCTGAGCCTTCCGTAAGAAAGGCCGCCAAAGTATTCTATTGGAGGATGGGGTTGATTACATAGTGCTGGAGTGGGGAATTCAACTTTGTAATATTGTGACACTTTGTAATATTGTGACACTTCTCCTTTTCTTACCAAGTACTTTTACCCAATAAGAATAAATAAACGAACAGGAATAAATAAATAAATAAGTCCAAACAGAGTTAAGAATTTATGGATATCACTGTGTTAGAAACTGATTTTCTTCTACTAGGTTTGTTTAAAACATGTGCAAGAAACTTGTATATCTCTAGGTCTTGCTGAAATACAATTCCCAACATTTTCAGCCAATGTGGGTATAGTAGTAGTACCTTGGCACTCATCATTAATTGTATCCCAGAGGCATGATGAGCACCAGATAAAATTTTCCCATAAGGAATAATGTAGTGAATCACAAGGCAGCTGACACTGACAGGGTCTAGCTTGTGCACTGAGTACCAAACAAACTATGAGTACAGGGACAAAATTTTCCCATCAAAATGCTTTGAGTACTAAAGTCGATGAGTTTCAAAGCAGTTGAATATCAAGGTACCACTGTAATGGAAAGAATTGCCAAGAGCTGTGCTTCAGTACTGCTGGAAGTTCCCTGCCCTTTATTTGAAGTATGCAATGGTACACTAATAAAGAGAAATGGTTCATGTTGTACTGAATTAAAAATTGAGATGAGGTAGAGAGTAGGAAAGATGCTCTTGACAGAGACAGGCCAGATCTGCTAACAAAGCAGCAATGAGAAAATGTGGTTTAATTCTAAAACAAGTTGAAGGCATGCACGAAAGTCCTCTCCAATTCATGTGAGTATAAGGGGATGGGTGGAAGCAAATAGGGATAAAGCATAGTTCTGTGGAGTTGATTTATTGGTTTGGTATATACGGTAGTGCTGACAGATAAATACCCAAGAGACTGAAACCCCCCCCCCTCTTGTGCAGTTTCAGAGCTACTTCTACATTTATTTATACAAAATGACCAGGACATTATATTGTTTCAGCTATCCTGGAAAACAAAACCAAACAGAAGCTGTAAGCATCACAAAATATGTGGATATTTCAAGTAAATATAATAGTGGCTGCCAGGAGAGGCAGGTGTTTATCTAAAAATGTAGTTGCTACTTCCCTCGAGGAAACCTGCCTGGCATCAATTGAAAATGAAGAGAAGTAGGGAACAAAAGCTAGTAAATAAGTATCAAATAAACAGAGAAAGAAAACAGAAACAGGATGCAATAATAAATGTTGAATATTATTATTTATTTTCCCCAACGCAATAGAGCAGGGCTTTTTAACCGGTGGTATGCATACCACCAGTGGTACGTGAGCACCTGGCTGGTGGTACACGTAGGACGGGTTGAAAAAAAAAAGTAAAATAAAATGTAAAATAAAGTGTAAAAGTGGATGAGGTGAAGCGCAGCAGCACCCCACAGACTTGTGGCAAAGTCAGCTGGAACTGCACATTGCCTGGCTCCTATTGAGAGCCCAGGATCAAAGCGTGCAGCTCCAGCTGATTGGCGGCAGCCTTGGGGGTAGCAGGCAGCCTCAAGCAGTCTTCAGTGGAGATTCCGCTGGAGCTGCGCGACGGGGAATCCCTGCCCCCCCAGATGCCCTCACCTCCCCCAAGTGTTTTTTTACTCACCTGCTTAGAAAGTCTCATGGAACTTTTTTTTTTACCCACAAACACATGGCGAAGGCAGAGAAGCAAACAAAGGTAGAGAAGCAAAAGGAGAAAGGGAGTGCAGTTGAAAGCAGGTGAGTAAAAAAATGCTTGGGGGAGGCAAGGGCATCTGGGCGGGGGGGCAACCTTACCCTGCATGGTGGCGGGAGGGTTAACTACGGGTGCAGGGGGGCAGGAGGAGCTGCGCAAAGCAGGCAGAGGGGAGGCCGGGCAGATTGCGGGTGCTGGCAGCGCAGAGGCTGATTGCACGTGCCTGTGCGCAAGGCAAAGGTGTTGCCTGGACCAGAAGGGAGGCTGGGCAGATTTCAGGCAGCGGCAGCGATGGGGAGGCCGATCACGCATATGTGTGAGGCAGAGGTGCTGCCCGGGGCCAGAGGGGAGGCTGGGCAGATTGTGGGCAGCGGCAGCAACGGGGAGACCGATTGCGCATGTGCACGAGGCAGAGGTGCACATGCGCAAGGCCAGAGGGGAGGCCGGGCATATTGCAGGCAGTGGCAGCGACGGGGAGGCCGATCACACGTGTGTGTTAGGCAGAGGTGCTGCCCAGGGCCAGAGGGGAGGCCGGGCAGATTGCAGGCAGTGGCAGTGATAGGAAAGCCAATTGCACGTGAGTGTGAGGCAGAGGTGCTGCCCGGGGCCAGAGGGGAGGCCGGGAAGATTGCGGGCAGTCTTCTTGAATCTGGCATTCACGGACCCGGCCGGAGCGAAGGGAAGTGGGATCAAAGCCAGATTCAAGGAGACGGAGGAAGGCTCACATGTCTCCACCCCAAAACCCCCAGCCAGCCTGCTGGCCTTTTGAACCGCCCTGGGGTTTGATCTGGCATTCACTTTGATCCTGGGCTCTCAATAGGAGCCAGGCAATGTGCAGTTCCAGCTGACTTTGCCACAAGCCTGTGCGGCACTTTTACTTCCACTTTTACACTCTTTTTTACACTCTTTTTTACATTTTTTTACATTTTCTTTTACATTTTTTTTAACATTTTTTTTCAACCCGTCCTACGCGTACCACCAGCCAGGTGCTCACGTACCACTGGTGGTATGCGTATCACTGGTTGAAAAGCCCTGGTATATACTACAAAAGAGGTGTGAAAGATGTAAACTTTTAAATAATGGGATGTTGGCTATGAGGTGGTGGTGTAGCAGAATTGGGATAACCTGTGGTTCACTGCATTATAAGGTTGTCTTGCTGGGTTCCTGACCTCCCGAGGCATGAATTGTCCTCTTTTCTATTGTCCTCTTTTCTATTGACAGAGTATCTGTTTTGATAGAACATTCTGCTAATGTTCTTGAGAAATTTTGAAAATAAATCATAGTTTTGACTTTGCTGACAGAGTGGTCTCTATGCTGCATTCTCAGATCATTTTCCTACTTTTTGTTTTGTTTGAATGCTAATACACACACAAAACAAACACTCACACAGAGACAGACAGACAGAACAAATGCTGTACTGGGAATATAGCAAAACAGAGTGTTTCAAGGGAAGTAAATATTTGTTAACTTTTGCTGATTTAGGAATCAGAATGGTTATAGGCAGCTTTGTTGCACTGTGAGAAAGCTAAACATTTTTCTTAACAGTAATTGTCCTATATAATATATAGCTAGTGTGCACGACCAGATATACTGGATGAATTCAGGACACAGATTGGCTTCACACACACACACACAAAAGAATGAGCTTTCAATTTTTTTGTACTGCATATTATGACATGGAATTGTGGTTTTCCATTTTACTAAATCCTGTCTGTAGGAAATCTTAAAAAAATACATAAATTGAGTAGTTACACTTGATTTTCTAAGAGTCATCCTAAAGTTCCATCAGGCTTGCCCTTTCTATAAGGGCAGAGTGAATCAGTGCTGAATGTTCCCATAAGCAGCCTTGCAAAGTGTAGAACTATGAATTTTAGCCAAAGTTGATTAGGTCAGCTTTATTTCAACAATCTTCAAAAAACGGTTCTAGTATTCATTATTTCTAGTATTCCTTACTTTCAGTGAGATTTGGTTCTTAATATACATCCCAGTCCATAATAGTGCATTTCAATCTAATGCAAAATTAGATGTTGCATATGACTTTCAAAATGATAACCATGACACTTCTTAAATGTCCAACTACATTCCACAAAAAATAATATTTTTAGTCTAATATTTTGTTCCCTAAGAGGAAAGTAAATCACCTAAAAAAGGCTGGTTCTGCATTAACAAAATTATAATTTAAGCTTTAGAAGAAATTGCCACATCATCCTCAGTTTTATTCTTTATCCTGCTTATTCAATATTCAAGTAGTGAAGAACTAATCAGTTTTTGTTTTAGTACAACTGTTGAGTTCTGCAAACACAATGATAAGCTTCAAATTTACTTTTTTTAAAAAAAATTACTGCTTTCCTTCTTTCTTTATTATAATTAATATTCAGACAAGTAATAGCTTCGCAAATAACAGATTCTAAAAAGAAAGCAATTTTTCACTATTTCTATTACATGCATCTTTCAATTTACTATGGCTTTTCTTTAATGTGGCATTGATTTAGGAGGAAAGCTAAAAGCTTTCTCGATCTGGAATATTTGGGGTTGAATTAAAACAGTAGTCCCCAAAGGTCTTTCTTATTAAAGCACATTTCATTTTTAAGACTAGAATTAGCAAGTTTTTTAAAAAGTTACTGTCATTAGCAGAAAACCTGGCAAATCTAAAGGCTTCCTAATTAATTCCAGGTTGTTCTCATAATGGAAGTTTCCATCTCAGTAGGTTTTTACCCAATCAAACATTTAAAATAAATAAATGGTCTCAGATGTACAATTTTAAAGTTTAGCACCATTTACAAAGCTGTTATTAAATATGAGAAAGCTCAGCTTCAAACAGCTGAATACTTATAATTGGGAATATATTTGCACACAATCTGCTATTTAAATTGGGCTGAGAAGTTAGAAGTATGTGCTGTAACCCTACAATTACATAGATGGAAGTAAGTCCCAATGGTACTTAGTGGTTAAGGCAAACTTGCAACCTCATGTGACATGTCGCAACGTATTGCAACTTTTTTGCCATTGCCGGCAATGGGGTGGGCGCGGTTTCGCTATGATGCATCCAGCCTATGGGCTGGCAGTTTGACACCCCTGGGTTAAGGCATCAGGCTATAAACTGGAAGACTGTGAGTTCTAGTGCTGCCCTTAAGCACAAAGCCAGCTGGGTGATCTTGGGCCAGTCACTTTCTCTCAGCCCAAGGAAGCAGGCAAGGGTAAACCACTTCTGAAAAACTTGCAAGAAAACTGCAGGGACTCATCCAGGCAGTCTCCAAGAATCAGATACGATTGAATGGAAGAGATAGAGAGAAAAAAAGCTGATTAACTAAAGCCAATTTTGTTCATTCCTTGTCACTCAAAAGGAAAAAATGACTTACTTTTCTGAAAGATTAAATACTTGTTGGGGATCTCCATTTTGTATGATGTATTTTATAGGGTCACCTTCCCGATCAGTTGCCTTCAAAAAAATAACAACACAAAGAAGGGGCATATTAGATTTGATTTCTGTTTATTAATTTTTTTAAAACAAAAAAGCCGAGTAGGTGATGGACAACACATTTGAAATGCTAATCAGCTCATAACAGTTTAATATTTGACAGCTTTAACTCTCAACAGAGTGATCATTATGTTATTTATCCCCTCTGAAGCGTGCCTGTATTTTGACTGCATGAGAATAGGCTGTGATAAGAATGATAATTGCCTATTGGAATTTTCATGAAATTAAAATATTTGCATTCTTAAGATTTAGTCAAAAATGAGATTATTTTTTTAAAAAAAATTTTTTACAGGCGGCATATTCTTCACATTATTGTCAGGATGGTGCAGAAGGGAATATTTATGACTGACTTTTTAAGAAACTAGTAAAATAAATGATAGCAATATTTAAATCATGCACTTATTCGTACGCTTCTTAAAATATGCAGCACAAAAAAGCTACAAAGCAACAGATGGTTTGAAACAAAGTGATTAGATAATACCATTAATTAAGCAAGATAATAACAAACTGTATCTGTTTAATAATAGAAAACACATTCCAGTCAAAATTAAGCATATTAAAGTATTGTTGGCATGGAAATCTAATAACTGTCTAGTCAAAAATAAAATCCTCTGAGTTCATTGTTACAAATAGAGGAACACAGCTTTGAAATTACTGATTTTTAGCCAGATCCTGCTTCCAGTGTTTGTAAACATAATCTAAATGTGCTTGGTGTAATATCAGTCATAAGAACAAATAATCTAAGCAAAGAACGTTTTTATTCCAAATTTCCAAATGTATCATCATTAAAACACTTGGATTCAAATATTTCTTGAACATTATTCTTCATCCCATCAGATTTTTCCGTCCCATCCTGTCAGGGTGGTAAGGTATATGCATCCACATTAGAAACAAGATGTTGAGACTTTGGGGAAAGTGCAAAGAGCAACAAAGATGATTAAAGGCCTGGAGACTAAAATATATGAAGAACGGTTGCAGGATTTGGGTATGGCTAGTCTAGAGAAAAGAAGGACTGGGGGGACATGATAGCAGCATTCCAGTATTTGAGAGGCTGCCACAAAGAAGAGGGGGTCAACTTTCCAAAGCACCAGAGGGCAGAATAAGAAACAATGGATGGAATCAAGGAGAGAAGCAACCTGGAATTAAGGAGAAACCTCCTAACAGTGAGCAGGGGGTTGGACTAGAAGACCCCCAAAGTCCCTTCCAGATGCCATCAGCTGAAGATCTCCAACTGATCTAGGAAGGATGCTCTAGCTCTATGAAGATAACGAAATGGATCTACAGAATATTCTTCCCTAGGAGGTGAGACACCCCCCATTCTCCTGGCCTTCCAAAAGGGGTTAAACATGGCAGCCTTGTATGGGGAGCCCAAAGGAGCACACAGTCATGGGGCTGGTTGATGCTAAGAGAACTCTCCCTCTGCCTTTCTCAACTAATTTCTAACAGGGTTTAATTATTCTTGCTTGCTTAATTTTTTAAATATTTTTTAAATATTTTAACTCTAAAATTTTAATTTTTATATACTGTTTTATATTTTGATGTTTTATTGCACACTGTCCAGAGTCCCTGTTTGAGGGAGATGGGTGGTTCATAATACTAGACAGCCATTTGTCTGAAATGGTATAGGGCAGGGCTTTTCAACCTTATCACAGATTGTACCACTTTTAGGACATGACAATATTTGAATACCACCAGTGCTTAGCAAGGTGTCAAAAACTTGATGACTTAAAAAAAGGGGAGGATTTTGGGTTTTACTGATTAGATTTATTTGTTGTTATAGAAATGGCTAGTTTATAATATTATGGAAAAGTAAAAAGTTGAGGTTCAGTGTTAATGCTTCCTTCTACTGCAACAGAGGAAGTCTGTTCTTTTTCTCTTCCCCTCTCAATTTCCCCCCTTTTCCTCCCCACTGTGTCCTACTATTTGCTTTTGTATTTTTGTATTTTATTCTATAATCTAATAAAATATTACAAACTGTAGGAAAAAAGTAAAAAAAGTACCAGTTTTAATTTCTTTGGTGGCTGTTCCTTTGCTGAATCATTTTCCCTTTGCACTGACAAATGTATGATGAGTTTATCCATGTTTATTAATATGCACCACTACCACCTGGCTCAGGGGTCTTCAAACTTGGCACTTTTAAGACTTGTGGACCTCAACTCCCAGAATCCCTCAGTCATCATGGCTGAATGAGGAATTCTGGGAGTTGAAGTCCACAAGTCTTAAAGTTACTAAGTTTGTAGACCCCTGAGCCCTTCTTAGCTCTCCTTCCACAGTGTAGTAAGAATGCACCCCCCATCCCTTCCCTGTACCCTTAAAGACACAGGAATCAAATGAAAAGCAAGAAATGCTCACAAAATAAACACATAAACTCCGTTTTTTCCCTTTAAGCTGCCTCAGACATGTCACATGTCACAATGTTGCAATCCCAGACTGAAAGGCTCCAGCAATTGCAAAAAGCTTTAGTTTAAAATTAATCCTGTTTATCTTCAAAGAAAACTTTCTAAAAGCCATAGACAGACTCAAGATAAGGGGGTAAAACTAATTACATTTGTTTAAAGGATTAAACCTACGAAAGTCAACACTTTGGACGCATTGCTAGCCTAAAATACAGACTAAAATATTCCAATAACCAAAGCACACAAAGGAGCCCCTGAATTACAAAACGCTGTAAAAACTGTACAAAAATCCTTATGGTAACCCAATCAAGCTGCCAGCTGATCCAGAACTCAATAAACCCACCTCCTTTCCAACATGCCGGCTTTTCATTTCATCAGCGCTGTTTGCATTCTCCTGGCTGGAGAAAACGAACTAGGGGACCTTTTCTTCCAGCAAGAGCTGCTGCTTCTTCTCTGTCCCTGTTTCCACCCTGACTGCTGAGCTATCTTTCTCTTTCCCTGTTGTCTTTTTTTCCCTTTCCCGCTCAAACCACCTCCTTTTATAGCCTCTCCTCTGTTCCCCCCTTTTTCTTCAGTTCACCTCCAGCTCTAACTGCTTCTGGAAGCACCAATCAGCTGGAGCCCTGCTGGCTCCTGGGGCTTCTGCCGAGCCCAGACAGTCCTGCAGCTGCAGCTGCCTCTCCCTCAGGCTTGGCTCGCTTCAGCTCATTCCCCTCCCCTGCTACACTTGGCTAGCAGTCGCGTACCACCTGCCATGTGGCAAAGTACCACAGGTGGTATGTGTACCACCGGTTGAAAAGCCCTGGTATAGAGTCTCCTGCTTGAGCAAGGGGTTAGACTAGAACAGCGGTCATCAATCTTTCCAGCTTGGCAGCTTGGTCTGGCGTGTGTGTGTGTGGGGGGGGTGAGTGGCATGTGCATGCATGCGCACAAAGCTCCATTTGTGTGAGTGGTGAATGCACGCACCCTCCACTTACACAGCTTGCACTTGCATGTGACGTTTCACTCACATGAGCGGTAGACACTTGTGTTCATCCACGAAGCTCCATTCATGTGAATGGCACTTGCCCTCTACTTGTGCAAGTGAGCTCTGCGTGCAAGTGCCAGCACCCTCCACTGACGCGAAGGGAACTTTGCATGTGCATGCTTGCCCACCACTCAGTTTTGAACGAGCCACAGCCCGGTAGTGGGCCGTGGCCTGGGGGTTGGGGACCCCTGGATTAGAAGACCTCCAAGGTCCCTTCCAACTATTTTTTTCTGATAAACAAACAAACAAACAAACAAACAAACAAACAATACAGAAGCCGTAATTTAATGGGACAACAATTTAATGGGTTGGCATGGAAAGTTGACTTGTTTTTATTATGCTGGAGAATAGAAAAATACTCACTGAAATTTCTGAATCTCTCACTCCTAACTAAACTATTATTAATCAGTCAGTCTTTGAGCTGATGTTTGCTAGATAAGACTGCACTCTGCCTTCTATCCCTGTTATTATGTTAGGGAAGCTTCAGTATACGAATCTGTGTGGTCCAACTGCAGGATTCAAGACCCTCATGTTTCATCATGAGTGGTCTCTGGAGCCTCCAAATTATGCAACTACATTGTGAGTGGTGCTTGAGTGAAGGAATCCATAAAGTTTAAAAAAAATAGAAAGAAAAAAATTATCAGACTGAACCTACTGATTCCATCTCTCTGGCTATGTCATTATCTCCTGCCTCCAAAGCCAATTGGCAGCAGTTGTCCTGCTCCAGCTACATAGCCTCCAACAGCTAACAAACCCAGAGAAACAGAAGTGACACAGGTGAACTCCTTCCAATCCATTTATTTTCATGTTAAAATACTTCCAGCACTGGAAATTATTTCCAGAAGGCTGCTTTGAAAAGTACAGATGCAGGAAGAGGCCATAAATGGTTGCAACCCTGAGGAGATGGAGGTTCTTTTTCTGTCAGGAAATCTATTACTGAAACCAAACCAAGTGCATAGAATTGGCCCCTGCAGGTTGCCTGCTGCAATATAAGCACAACATTTTGTTGGGATTCTGTGCTTTTTCCAGGCAAAATGTCAACTGCCTCGACCTTCTATTTTTAGGCATGCAATGCAATGAGAAAAACAAAACAAAACAGGATTTTGTTAAAAGCATACAAGGCCTCTGTCCAAGAAAATGGTGGCATGGGCTAAAATGATCAGATATACTGCATTGGAAATGTTGGGCTTCCTGATATAGAAGCTCTAATGAATGAAATATTAATTTTCTTGGTATATTTTCTTTTCTTTTCAGTGTAATTAGTGTTGTTTTTGGTAATACTGGTTAAAAAGCAGAACATTTCCCTCCTTTAATTTTGAAATGATTAAGTTAGTGTTGGGTACATTAGCATGAGGACAACTGACATATTTGCTGTTCTAAGAATTTGAAATAACACAAGTTATGATGGATGAGTGTTACTACAGAGACTGCAATTCAGCAGTTTTGGACTCCAGAAATATTCCAAGGGTCCCTTAATGAGCTTTGCAGTCATGAATGTGCTTTCCTGAAAAGGGAAATCAAAGATAAGAGAATACTGA